AGATGTTGATGAATGCAATCCTTCAAGCGACTGTATGCAAACCTGTATTAACAGTGTGGGAAGTTACAACTGCTCATGTGACGAGTTTTTCAAAACTGATCCTAGTGACTGGAGGAAGTGTGTAGGTGAGTGATTCTCTGCGGGGGGCATTCAGTTGTTTGTTATCAGGCATTTTTCATCACACAAAGTCTCATTGTACGCTGACTGCGTCATCTGGAGCGAGCGAGCGATCGAGCTAAGCAATAAATCTCAGTGTTGGAAGTTTTAGAGGCATAGTTCACGTTGAAAAAGACTTCCAAGTTTCTTCCGCCATATCGAAACGCCACCATGAAACAACAGCATTTTACTGATGTTACTACTGATTCCTTTTACTTCACAGCTACCAACCCTTGTTCTGCTAATCATGGCTGCGAACACGTTTGCTTCATGGGAAGCAGCGGTGAAGCAGGTTGTGCTTGCTTTGCTAACTTCGAGCTTGACACCGATGGAAAGAAATGTATAGGTAAACTGTTACTTTTGTTTTCGATCTTAGGGATTTAGTGGTGGATCGTTCGCTGTTTTCTTAGAGCGCCGGAGAACTAAAGGAGGAATTTCGAGACGCTGGGAAGATTTATATGTTCATTTACCACAACGCATATGGTGCAATAACATGCGACGTGCCTGCTTAACTATTACTTGTTTCCCCTTGTGAAAAAAATATAGAATGCCGTCTGGATAGTTTGCAGCTTATATCAATTAACAACGAAATGTTATTCGAAAGGTTTAAATAGAACAAGAAGCACCAACTAAAGCCTATTTATTGCCTTTCTACTGTTCTCTCTGTAGACGTCAATGAATGTGATCCGGCTAAAAAACTCCATCGGTGCGATCAGATTTGTACAAACACCCCAGGAAGTTATAACTGTTCGTGTGAAAAGGGTTTTCAACTGAAGAAAGATGGCTACGAATGTGAAGGTAATGCACCAAATTGTACTCAACTTTAATTGTTGCAATTGTATTTACAGAAAAGAAACCATTTGAAACTAGTTTATCCGTTAACTAATAAATCTCAACGTGTTTGTCATGCAGATATCAACGAGTGTCTGAATGATGACCTGTTTAACTGCGCGGATGAGTTTCACAAATGCGTCAACACTCGTGGCTCTTACAAGTGTGAATGTGACCAAGACTTGTACTTTATTGATGGAAAATGCAGAGGTATTTCATCATTTTCAGACAAAGATTTCTTGGTAGTTGAGGTTATACATTGGAATCTACTATTCTGCTTTCCACGTTTTGTTAATTTACAGTTGAATTTTGAGCTTGACATTTTCATCGCACCTAGATATCGAGAGCTTAATCTACTGGTCATTAGATTTTTTTGGGTAGAGGGGAGATGTTATATGGTTTTCAAGGCGTATGGAAGGGGAACAGTCAGAGTAAGAGGTATAAAGGGAGGACTACGGAAGGGGGGTTATGAGAGCATAGCTATGGGGCTACGCTGTGAGCACTACACACGCCGCTAGCTCCGCTGTTACAGAGCCTTATAAAAGGATCAAGTAAATTTTCAAACGCCCAACGAACCCCCTCCGTCCCTTCCCTCGTTGATTAATAATGGCTCTTCCTTTACCTTGTCTATAACCGCGAATTATTAAGCTACTCACTCCTCACTGCCTTTAACGGAGTTAATACGAGTAGCGTATCTGATCAAATAGCTATATCCGTAGAAGAAAGTTGGGAGATTTAAACCAAACCAATTTTTCTATGCAAAATTCGTTAACTTCCTTAAATGGTGAAAAAAAAAACAAAGAAAGTCTGTTTTATGTAATGCAAATTTAATCTTTACTCAGGTTTGGAGAAAAACGAGACAGCCCCTTTACCAGACCTACCTGAACCACGAGTCCCATCAGAAAGTGAAAAACAAGAAGCTGTTCGCTTTTCCATACCAAGTGGGGTAGGTACCTCGAGTTTTCTGCAGCGACGTTGTCTGCTACAAACTATATGGTAAACATGATATAAGCCATTCACGTGTAAATCAGTGCGCGCACTAAACAATATTCTCCAGGAACTACGACAGCGAACTCTTGCGAGTAAGCTAACAAGCAATTTTAAGGCCCAACCTTCTTCAAACAGGTAGAATCCAAATGAGTAATGACCTTGAATCTGTTTCAGATGAATGTCATTTATCTGCATGACACTTCCAAAACGATATTAAACTTTAGTCACGTTTTCTTTGGCAGGTTGAGTGGGATTTTAATAAGGACAAGTCTTTTAAAGAGAAATTGGCGTCTGTCACAACCGAGTTTTGCAGTCAAAACAGGACAACATGCGCACTAAAAGAAACACGACGAAAAAGGTGATGGCAACCATGACTAACACTCTTTTGTTTTTTTGCAGAGGAATGGTACCTAGCTTTCTGTAAGCCTTTTCTTTTTCATTTAGTGCTTCCCTCCAGTCCTCCCAGTTGTTTCTTTGAAGCTTTGGCAGCTTCACTGACGTCTGCCCACTACTTCATCCTTTCGCACTTAAGAACTGAAAAGGAATTTCCTGCATCGTTTACTGTACATTTCTTCTAGTTTCAGTCTGAGCATCTAGTGTTAGATCAAATAATATCCTCTAGACTATACTTCCTTTTTTTATCACCTTTCCACCTGAAAAGGCAATATTATGGTGAGCAGAACTTCCTTAACTGCCTCTCTTGGTAACACTGAATGAAATAATGAATTTGACCACATTTGGCTCTGGGTTAATGTGAGACAAATCGGATGTTACATTTGTCCTGGTCGCAAAGACGTCAAATGTGTGGCAAATATGTTATCATATTTGTTCCTGATAAATGCAAAACAAACACTGTTTGAAAATGAAGCCATTTTTCATTCAAGGACAAATATTAGACAAAGTAGACAAATGTGTACACTTTAACTTAACTTTAACTTTAACTTTACGAACCCTATTTCACCCCAACTGGGAAACGTTCTTACACTCGCTTCCCCCCTTGTATAATCTATCCAGTTTCCCTACTTTGTATCTCTAGGGAGATCAGTCAGATTTAGGCATCTTTTGACTGGATCAAAAGTGGGATTTTTACGAAAACTGACTGAATATTGGTAGAGGTTCCTACAAGGAATTATGTGACTTGACCAGTGCAAGCCATACAGTTGCCTGAACTGACTGTTAACTTCTGCGGTACTGTTAGTATTTCATTGGTAAAAACCCAAGCCAATGTCCCACATTAGACTGTCGAAAAGAAGAGAAATGTCATTGCGTTAAAAGTAAATAAAAAAGATAGAACAAGGGACAGGGACAGGGCTAAATTTCAACACGTGATCCTCAAAACTACCGTGGGATTCCAAGCAGTGTACTTCAGAATCTCTCTCGACGTCGTTAGCGCTATTGTCACTTTCAGAAGCAATTTCCTTTCTCTCTGCAATTTGTATGAGATGTATCGATCACACGTACCTCGACTGCCAAAGTAATCACAGTGACTGCAGTAATAAATCTTTTTCCCTCATTTTCAGGAAAGATATTAAGCTAAAAAATGACGAGAAGTGACGGGAATGACAGTAACATCTGCTACTGCACTCCGTAAACATAAAATATGTAAATGTTTGGATGTGCATGCGCAGGTAATCCCTGAAGGCTCTCACCCGACGCTTTTCCTCCAATCCGTTGTAAATAATAAGTGTAATTCTTGGACATTAGCATAATCGGCGGGATTTGGAGCGTCGCTTCAAATTTAAAGCGTCTTTCGTCCAAGTGTCACGTCTTCGTTGAAGCAAGTTTTTAACCAAAAGTTCCTCCGCTGTTTTGTAATATGTCTCACAGAAACAGATCGAGCAATGCAGGGATTGATTTTGACGAGCAACCCGAGTCACCGCTAACCGTCTAGGCACTCTCAGTAATGGCTTTTGATCTCGATGCTGATTTTAAAACTCACCGTGTCTCGTTATAGCTACCAAAAAATTTCACGAAAACTTCTGCAGATCGATGATTTCCTTTCAATTCTCACTGCATTGATGTTTTATTATTAAACTAAATTTTTTTTCCTGTCAGACGCTCTCCATTATTTGATCTCTACACCGCTGACCAGGTTCACCTTCTGCCTGGTTACCCTATCAACTCATCAGACTCCATCCGGGTAGCATTCTACGTACAGCAGCCTGCTGGTCTTTTTGTTGGAAATATCTCAGCTCTTCCTCGTGACGCATTGGTCTCCATTACAAAATTATACAAGCCCCAGATCGAGAAAGGAATTGGCGCTAACATCTCTGATATAGAGACTTTATTCGAAACCAGCCCATCTAAAGAGTACCCAACAGTGGGACCACAAGAACCAGGCAACAATGGCTCGAAATGGACTGTAATTGGGATTAGTGTGGGATTGTTCGTTCTAATAGTTGCCATTATTTACATCATCCTCGTGAGGTAAGTAAGCGATGCTCTAGCAATTACTAATTATTCTTAGCTAGTAGGTTGCCAACCCTTTGCTTAATCTCAAACGATCCCTATTTATAAGGATACGTATTTTCGTAGGAGAGTGATTTTTCAAGGAAAATTATTTCTTACAAGCACTACCAAAGAAAATCTGTCTAAGAAACTAACAAGGTTCACCTTTCTGACGTAGAATTTTCAAGCTAACTTTGATTTACCTTTTGTGGTTTTGTATTTAATCGTGACGATATTTGATCTCAAGAAAAACAATCCCAAAATGAGAAATAAAAAGTGCAGCTGAATTGCCTGTTGGCTTAGTTTCCCTCCTATTAGGTCACATAACCACTTTGATTCGCCATGTTCTGAATACAATGCGAGTGTTTAGTTTTCTCCATAGTTTGTATATATTGTTATTTTTTTTTATTTTTCGAGAAGCATTCACTCAAAGTAGTAAGGCAACTGAGTAAGATTGACGTGAACTCCAAAAATAATAATTATAGACTACATCAAGTGTCAGAAATATTTAGCTAAAAATAGCTAGTTGGGGACACTAACGCATAAATTTAAAATATAAGATAATAGCATTGTGTAAAAATAGATACATAGTTAAAAAATTCACATGTTTCATAATTCTAACTTATTTATTAAGATAATAGTAGGAATAATAATAATAATAACAATGAGGAGGAATTTTTAAATGTAGGTTTCAGAAAAGAAGAAATGCAACTTACCTCTTTTCTTTGCTTTCAGTTTTACTTTGAGAACAAAAGGGAAATCTGCAAGGAAAACTGAGTCATATCATTATCCTGAAGATGGAATAAATATGACAAGTTTTTGAAGATCAATAGGGAAAAGAACTAAAAAACAGTTAAAACAAACTCCTTTTACTACGGACTCACGCTATTTCGATAATGCGAACACGTTTGTGCCCCTCTTCCTCCACAGTGTGACATTTCATTTGTTTTTCCTCTCTATTTAGCGGACACTTTTAATTACTTCGTGTA